TGTTCTACACAAATGATGCTTGATTTGTGCTTTGTGAAACTCTTAGTGATTTGAGATAATTATTAAGTGAATATGTCAAGTCACATGTTGTAAAGGTTAAATAATCTTAGAGTGATGAATTTGACACTATTGCACAACTCTTGTTTGAGTCTAACCGTTGTAGGGTTGAGTTCGTTACTTGAAGGATTATCTAAGCTTTGTGGCATGTGATTATATTCATGATGTAGTTAGTTGATATCAGTGGGAGTTCTTCAGTAGCTGATGGCAGGGTAAGGTTGGGAACCTAGAAGGGCCTAGGAAGTGTTTTTAGTAGGCTCGGATGTGTCGGTTAGCGAGTATTTGGAATATCAGTTTGAGATGGTGACTGGGAGGATTCGGGATGATTCTTTAGGAAAGTATGAATAGGTGTGGAAGGTAGTATTGGGCTTGTACTAATGAAAACACAGGATCCATACTCAAATCGAGGAAAGTCACGGAAAATCTAGGAAGCCTGTGGATTGAGGATCCTTGGGAATGTTCTTATTATTAGCATATTTGTTTTTTCAAAATGGTGATGAGCACGCATGGAGGAGGTGCAGGTTTTGGTTCATGCTCAGGAGAAGGTACTGAGCCAATTGATGATAAGATATGGAAGTTTATCTTGTTGGAGATCACCCACAGTATTTTAGAGCAGCCTGTAATGTTTGGCACCATCAAGGAAGGGATCATAGAACTCTTGGATGATTGTCTCGAGGCTTTTTGGGCCAAGTTTGCAGTAGGACAGCTGAAGGCCCATCGGGAGCTTAAGGCTTGTGGAGCCCGAGGATCTTTTGGGGAAGAGGATCCTATTGCCAGCTCTTGTTATGAAGGAACGAAGGTGGATTATGCAACGTGCCTTTTGGGGGATCGATTACAATAGTGGATTGCCATTGAAGTTCTGCGAGCTTTACGTGAGGAGTTGTCTGACATTATTGTCTATGTCACTGACCATCTGGTCACCAGGTTCTAGGATCAGATCTCATCTGTTCAGGCAGTTGATGGGATGGTCGAGGTGACTCCGGAGCAGGAGCTCAGCTTGGAAGGGTAATTAGGGAAGAGGAAGCAGGCTCATTATCCGACTGTCAACAACATCTAATCAATTGGATATTTCCATGTCTAGTGCTAAAGGCCCGAGGGGCCACGACATTTGTGCTAGGGGTGAAGGAACTCATAAGCGTGTGCGCAGAAAGTCCAAATGCAACAGGTGCGAATGGAAGGGTCACCTTCGCCAAGAATGCACCCTTGAAGTAGAAGTGTGTCATCGTTGTCATCATCTTTGTCATATCATGGAAAATTGCCATGTTTAGTGGTTATTGCAAGTGCTTATGTAGGAAGGGGAGTAAAACACGGAGACACTATGGGTATGTATCGTATTTTTCTCTTTCACTCTTAAATCTCTATGCTAATAATTCCGTGTTGATGTGTGTGAAATATTATGCCTTGATTTTCTAAGAATGGAAGCATTTGTATGAGTAATATAGTTATTTTATCCATAAAGTTATCATTTTCCATTTTACATACCATGGGACACGTATAGAAAAGGTTTGAGTATTCCGCTTAGGAGATCAATAGTCGGTCAGATCTTTAGTAGTATCAACGAAAGTTTAGGAAATCCACAAGGTAGGCATGTCGGGTTTGAAGGCAAGAGGTGTAGGTGTGTGTAAGGTTTTGAGCTAGTAACGAATTGGTTCGATCATGGTTGCAAGATAGGTAGTTTTTTAGTTCACACCTTCAAAGCGAGGTCAATTGGGGGTTGCATGGGAATTGCTCTAAGTACAAGTAAGTGGTTGACCCGGTTGGGTACTTGTGCGACACTAAGATGTTGTTCCTCGTCAACCGATTAGTCGCTAAGGATATGTAGTGAATTCAGTGGAAAGTGCTTAAATATTTGGATGATCATTGAGGTATTTTGAATGTACAAGCGCTAGGCTTGGCTGGTCAAGGAATGCTAGCTGTTGTAAAGCGTAGGTTGTCGTCTACTAATGTCAGTAAGAATTAGGCAGTAGTATCATATCCTTCTTAAATAATGGGATAGTGTGGTTCGCATGGGTTATTTCATCCATTGGGATTGTCAGCAAAAATAAATGGTATCTACTAGTGATCTTTGCGTACATCGATCCTTCAACGGGTGAGTTATTGGATTGATGATCCGTCTATTCCGGTTAATGGTTATAGTTCTTCGTCATGAGCTGAAGTGGATTAAGAATTTCGAGTTGTATTAGAAGAAGTACTGGGGATCATTGAGCTCATTTGATATGTGTATTTTTATATGCACTTTATCTTAATATTTTGGCCTTATTTATTCTATTTTAGAACTAAAGAGTACTCATAATACTTTGAATTATGTTTTGCAGCTATTTGTTGTCGATAAAGCACAAAAGAAAAGACTGAAGCGGAAACCGGGCTTAGAAGCTAAAAGAAAGAAAAGAATTCTGAGGTAGCGAGTACGCCCCGCGTACCTTAAGGTTACGCCCCGCGTACATGCTTGCACCGGATAGACTTGATCGCGTGATTATCCAGAGTACGCGCTGCGTAATCCTAAGTACGCCCAGCGTACTTAGGTCGGCCACAAAGATTATAAATGTCGATTTTTAGCTAACCAGGAGGGGGAATTCGACTTCTAACCTAATTTAGTCGACAATTAACTTCTGTTAAGCCGTTTTGAGGGTCTAGAAGGTGGCCGGAAGGCCGTTAAGCTAACGGGAGCAGAGATCTGAAGGATTGGAGAGCGGATACATGTCGGTAATCATATGGATTGCTAACGTGACCATGTCTAGCACTTCCTTATGGTACTTTTTGTATTTAGTTTCTGATTTGGGTGTAAAAACCTTTTACTTTGTGTTTATGATTGAATGAAGTTTTGATTCTTAGACTAATTGTTATGTTAAATAATTTATTTGTGTTTAATTTATCTTGCCAAGCTTGTTCAAAGATCCTCATGTGTTAATGATGATTATTTGCTGTTAATTGTTAAGTGAATTAAGTTGTATGAAAACCTGCTTGATTTGCTTGTCTCTTATGATTTTTGATGACCATTGAGATTATAAGACTAGAAATAACGAATGTGAAACTAGGATTAACTTGGGAATAAGTAAGTTAATGTGTGAGCCTTGTTTGATGACCATCAACAAGAGGTTAATTAAATGTTTAAATTAACTAAATTTACAAGTCTTGCTTGATACGAACTGAACACTAGGAAGCATGTTAGTTTAATCAATTGATCACTGTTTGAATTAACTTGTTTGCTAAAGGATTAGTTATAGTGAACATGAATCTAATCAATTTAGGAATCGGTGAACATGAATAAATGAATTTGTGTATGCAATTGTTTATGTTTTCAAGGTGGAATTGTCTAAACCAAAGTACCTAAAGAGATTTGTTTTCCTGTTAGTTTATCGAGGATGGGTAATTAATTATTAGTTTGAGTTTATTAAATTATTCTTTTATTCTTTTCGTGTGACCTATAATCAGATATATTAAATTGATCCACCGTTCCCTGTGATCGACACCCGACTTACCTAAGCTATACTGTAATCTGACTAGGTACACTGCCTATAAGTGCATAGTTAGTCTAAGTTTGTTAGGTTATAAATATTAAAATTAATGGGTACTTTCGTGCACATCAAGTTTTTGGCGCCGTTGCCGGGGAACGGCTTGTCATTAATTTATTTTATTTGATTATTCGTTATTTGTTTTTAGTTAGTTTTCATTTTTTAGTTTGATTTTCGATGATATCTTTTCACTTGTCGGGAAGGTTCTTGTTTTTATTTGCAGGAATTTGGGATTGTACACATTGCTTGACTTTACTTTTTGCATGGGTTTCGAGAATGAAAGCGATTAGGGAATTCTTGACCTGCTTAGCCTACTACTTTGTTGATTTGTCCAACTCAATCCATGAGGCGTAGTATAGCAAGGCGTATTGTGGTGGTTAAGTGGAAGACCGAGCTCTTGCTGTTCTTGACTAGTTAGGTCACTTCTTGTTCCGCTTCTAGTTAAAGGTGCAAGGAAAACAAAGGAAATATTCTAACGGGTCCCGAAAGTGGGTGTTTTCGCAAACCAATTCTTGCATGCAAAGGTTTTTGATCAACCATTGTTGTTTGATCTTGACAAAGATAAGTGATTATGACATCTCAATTTTTTTTTTATCACTCATCGTGAAGTCATCATTAGCTTAAGAAATTAAAAAGAAAAATAAATAAATAAGTTTTAAGTCCCTAGATGAAATGATTAAAAAAAAAGGAAATTCAATTAAAAGAAGAAAGGGAAATTTTCATTTAAACTTACGCCCCGCGTAATAAGTAGGATTACACCATGCGTAATAAGACCCGAATCGCGGATGAACATCTCAGGGTGTTGGGGTTACGCCCCGCGTACCCTTGTGTTACGCCCCGCGTACATCGGCGACCAGGTATACCTCTTGACCCTTTGACTTCGCTGTTATTTTCAAACCCAATTCCTTTCTCGCAAAAGCTGTGATGGCGACTCTCTCCAAAACTTTCGATTGTGCTTCGTTCTTGTTGAATTCGACACTCAAGTAAGCTTTTTCGGTCACTCTATGTTATGGATTTGTGTTTAATTCGAAGGAATAAGCTGCAATTAGCTTTTGCTTGAAATCTAGGGTTTATATATTTCTCGAATTAGGGCCGATTTCGCAAATGTATGTGTTGATTAGGGCTTGAATGGACCGATTTCGGTTAATACATTAAACCCTCGAACCTAATTTGCCTTTTAATTCCGTCCCACACCCATCGATTTGAGCTTGGGGTCATACGCAAACCGTACCCCTGTGATTTCGAGTTCTTGACTGACTTCGATTTTTGACCGTTATGCATGTTTCCCTTATAAATGTTTTCTAATAGACAAAGAATTTACAGAGATTGATTCATATTTTTAGGGAGGTCCCGATTTTTCTCCTACTACCTTTGGACCACGCGATGTTTAAAAATTAATTGTGTTGATGCCCCTGCGGTGTTTATTTGGATATGGATTATGACCTTAGCACAAGAAAGGGACTGGGACCAGGACACAGAATCGCAAGCCTGGACGTACGCCCAAACGTACGCTGGATGTACGCCCAGCGTACTGCCCCTATCCAGCCCCATTTTTTTTGGTTTAAAAATCTATTAATGCTGCCATATTTTGTTGGTTTTGTGTTTTTGTGTTAATATGTGCAGATTATGGCTCGAAGGGCATAAAGAACCAACCCTCCCGAGGATGTGACCGATCATCGCTTTTTACAATTTCCGCAAACACTGAGCGATGCTACTAGGGCGCGTTATAGCACTAACTTGAGCCTGCTTCTCACAAAGGAGATTGATATTGCACCCTCTTTCGACTGGGAGTTGGCTACCAGGATTGGACTTGCTGCATTGATCCAGGAATTTTTGCAATACACACACTCGGACGCGAGTGGTGTGGAATTGTTTGTGTGTCAGGGATGGGCGCGTTTGTTCAGGATCCAGGAGCCAGTATATCGGGAGTTTTTGCTGGAGTTCTATGCTACAATTTCCTATGATCCTAGGAAGGCACTCGATGACAGGACAGCCTTTGCTTTCAGACTGGGAGGAGTGAGCCGGGAATGCAGCGTGATAGAGCTTGCGACTCGGGTGGGTATTTACACAGCCGACGAGACGAGGAGTGTCCACTTCCCGACATTCCTTGCTGACTGTCTCACGGACCGGCCGGAGGACTATAATGAGAACACTTTTGGGCCGAGATTACGGGAGGATTTATACACCATCTACCGCTCGAGGGGGATGATTCGGTCTACTACATACCGAATGTTGCACCGGTTGATTTCTATGTCTCTCACGCATCACAAGAATAGCGAGAGAGTGCCTTCGACGGACCTGTATTTCCTATGGGCACTAGTTACTCCAGGGAGGCACCTGAACCTTCCAGTTGCTTTAGCTGCATACTTGGGACGGAGGGCCAGGGGACTTCGGGGAGATAGCCCGATATGCGGAGGGCATTTTATCACACGATTAGCTCGATCATATCAGTTGATGACACGTGAGATCACGAGATCGATGGTGTTTCACGACATGAGGCCGATGAGTCTTCAGCTATTGGAGTCGATGCGCGTATTAGAGCGGGGTGGAGATGGTGTTTTGAGGGTTCGAGCAGATGATGTGGCGGATGAGGAGGGTGCCGCTGAGCCACAGCCGAGACGGGTCCCGCGACGTAGACCTGCTCCTTGGGGAGCGCAGCAGGGACCTGAGCCGGAGATCGATATGCGCTACTTAGCTCAGGGCATTGATCGTCTTGACATGAGGGTCCAGAACCTTAGCGAGTATGTTGCACATGTGGACGCGCAACAGCGGTGGCAAGGGAATGCATTGAATGCATTCTTTGCGCATCAGGGATTTCAGTATTCGGTTCCCTTTCCACCACCATTCCAGTCACGATTTGATGGGGCCGGTACTTCTGGGACACAGCCACATGATGATGGAGATGACGAGTGATCCTTTTTGATTTTGTTTATTTGTTTTGTGTTATTTTTAGTTTAGTAGTATTTGGTCTGTAATTAAACTTTGATTTAGTTTGTTTTACTTTTGTTTTCCATGTTGATGCTCTATGGTTGTTTAGATTTATGCAGAATATTCGCCCTTAGGAAGCTGGCAGTAAGTTCAGCAGCTAGGTCCGACTGTTGCTAGAGAGAGCCATGTGAGAGTTCGAAGGTTATAGTCAAGACCCACAATTTGTCATAAGTGTGGGGTGCATCTTTATTAGAGTTGTATTTCGATGCAAGGAAGAAATATCGTTCCGACTGCCACGACGTGGTTGACACTTTCCCACGTCATGGTTATTATACATTGCATCTAATTGCAATATTTTGCACCACATTTTCGAAGATGGCGGTCTTGATTTTATTTTTCGGCAAATTTAGAAGCAGCAGTTCCAGTTTTCAGTTTTTCAGCAATATTTGAAGCAACCTGTAGCAGCCCCATTCGATCTCGCCACAACTACCCAGGGGAGTCTGTTCCTTTTTCTCCTTTTTATGTTCTTAATTTGTTTTAGCATACAATGAGGGCATTGTATGAAATAAGTGTGGGGTAGGGGGTCGGTAAAAGTAAATTATAAAAATGAAATAATAGTTGGAAATTGCTAGATTTAGGGAAATTTAAAAATTTAAAAGAAAACTTGAAATAATAGTTTAATTTAGAAAAATCTAGTGATAATTTAAAATTTTGCTAATATTGTATGAGATGATCCGATGAGAACTCAAATGTTTAGTTGAGCCAATATACGTTATAGTGCATTTGTGGCTTCCCTTATTTTAGTGAAATCATGGAACAAAAACATAACCCCGCTCGGTTTGAAGGATGCAATATGTTTAGCAGCCTAAACCTGAAATGTATCCAGGAAAATTATTATCATTAACCAATAAAGGTTGAGGTTGAGCGCCTCTGCTTAAGCATGTAGGTTTTGAGTGAAAAAAGAGAGGTACATGTAAAAAAAAAAGAGAGAGAATTACGAAAAAGTTTGAAGAATTTTGGAGCAAATAAAGTGAAGATCAAAAGATCAAAATTCAAGAAATTCAAAAAGTTGAAGATACCAAGAAATCAAATCAAATAAGGTGGTGAATTCAAAGAAATCAAAGATCAAATTGTTAAGAAAGTGAAGAATTCAAAAAAGCTCCATAGTGGTATCATAAATTGTAATTCTAGATTATGTATGCTTAGGTTGCTCAACTAAAAATACCTTGAGGTTAGGAGGTTTTCTGCGGATGGATTCGGAGGGTTGCATAAAATGAGCATTGTTCGGAAAAAGTGGGCAAGTGTTTATGAAGATTGTGAGTATTTAAAGTATGGGGGGTACTTAGGAAAATTTTAGACACAAATGCATGCGTTGAGGTCTTGGCATAATGGCTGAGTTTTAAATGGATTGTTTAGTGCGATATTGGTAAAATAAAAGTAAATTTGCTTGGGGGCAAGCAAAGGCTAAGTGTGGGGTATTTTGATATGTGTATTTTTATATGCACTTTATCTTAATATTTTGGCCTTATTTATTCTATTTTAGAACTAAAGAGTACTCATAATACTTTGAATTATGTTTTGCAGCTATTTGTTGTCGATAAAGCACAAAAGAAAAGACTGAAGCGGAAACCGGGCTTAGAAGCTAAAAGAAAGAAAAGAATGCTGAGGTAGCGAGTACGCCCCGCGTACCTTAAGGTTACGCCCCGCGTACTGCTTGCACCGGATAGACTTGATCGCGTGATTATCCAGAGTACGCGCGCGTAATCCTAAGTACGCCCAGCGTACTTAGGTCGGCCACAAAGATTATAAATGTCGATTTTTAGCTAACCAGGAGGGGGGATTCGACTTCTAACCTAATTTAGTCGACAATTAACTTCTGTTAAGCCGTTTTGAGGGTCTAGAAGGCGGCCGGAAGGCCGTTAAGCTAACGGGAGCAGAGATCTGAAGGATTGGAGAGCGGATACATGTCGGTAATCATATGGATTGCTAACGTGACCATGTTTAGCACTTCCTTATGGTACTTTTTGTATTTAGTTTCTGATTTGGGTGTAAAAACCTTTTACTTTGTGTTTATGATTGAATGAAGTTTTGATTCTTAGACTAATTGTTATGTTAAATAATTTATTTGTGTTTAATTTATCTTGCCAAGCTTGTTCAAAGATCCTCATGTGTTAATGATGATTATTTGCTGTTAATTGTTAAGTGAATTAAGTTGTATGAAAACCTGCTTGATTTGCTTGTCTCTTATGATTTTTGATGACCATTGAGATTATAAGACTAGAAATAACGAATGTGAAACTAGGATTAACTTGGGAATAAGTAAGTTAATGTGTGAGCCTTGTTTGATGACCATCAACAAGAGGTTAATTAAATGTTTAAATTAACTAAATTTACAAGTCTTGCTTGATACGAACTGAACACTAGGAAGCATGTTAGTTTAATCAATTGATCACTGTTTGAATTAACTTGTTTGCTAAAGGATTAGTTATAGTGAACATGAATCTAATCAATTTAGGAATCGGTGAACATGAATAAATGAATTTGTGTATGCAATTGTTTATGTTTTCAAGGTGGAATTTGTCTAAACCAAAGTACCTAAAGAGATTTGTTTTCCTGTTAGTTTATCGAGGATGGTTAATTAATTATTAGTTTGAGATTTATTAAATTATGTCTTTTATTCTTTTCGTGTGACCTATAATCAGATATATTAAATTGATCCACCGTTCCCTGTGATCGACACCCGACTTACCTAAGCTATACTGTAATCTGACTAGGTACACTTCCTATAAGTGCATAGTTAGTCTAAGTTTGTTAGGTTATAAATATTAAAATTAATGGGTACTTCCGTGCACATCAAGCTCATAGGGATTTCGGGAAGTTGTCATCTGGTTTTGGAATTTGTGTGATTCATAAGGTTGTCTAGTAATGGAGTGCTAGTTTCTGTAAGCCCTGGTTGTTGGCAAGTTTGAATTGTAAGACTGTGAGATGGATTGGGAATCCATCAACTTTTGGTTAATTGGGAGAGCGCATTTTGAATCCAAGTGGGGGAGAATCGTTTGGTCTAAAGGTTGTATAAGAAGAGAAAAGAAGGTTTCATTGTGCATCAGTTGTGATGTTTGGTGGATATTGATCAGGAACAGGTTGAGGGTTATGTTAGAGCCTCTCTGTCTGTTCATGTCAGATGAAGGCTTTAGGGTTCTAAGCATAACCCAAACACTTGGTTGGGGGATATAGTCAGATGCGGGTTTGACTCAGGGCAATTATGGTTGGTTTGGTAGATGAGCAGTAAGACCATGGGTGGTGACCAATGCAAGTAGTGGTAGAAGTGTCATAAGACTATGTGTTGGACGTAGCATTTGCTAGATCGGAAGACAATATGGTAGTGCTATAAGACTATGGGGTGCCCGTAACATTCACTCAAATTAGCAGACAGTACGTGAGCAATAAAGGGCTCACAATGTGAGGAGCGCTGCAGCCCAAACCCATGATCTTTGATGGTTTTGGAGCTTTTCTTGGATTGGAATAAGGAGGAAAGAAGAAGAAGAAGGTGGCATTGTGTTGTGGCTTGCAAGGACTCATTGTCTTCATCATTTTACATTGTTTTTGGACCATTGTTATATAAGGCCAGATCTAAGTTTTGTCCTACTTTTCTTCTTGATTGAGCATGTCGAGTGAATAGAAACCATAAAGTTGGCAATTTGATGAGTTATGAGGACCTTAGGATGTCTTGGAGTTCAGATCTATAAAATGGTTGAGTATTGGAGCATTGGATGAAAGTTGAATGTATTTTCTTCAACTTTGGACCTAAATGAGATCTAGACATATATTTGACATATACATCTTAAAAGCATCAACTTTCTAGTGTATTAAGAAGTTATAAGACCCTCTGGAAAGTTGGAGTGCAAGGCTTAATTGATTAAGGACTTAAAAGACGGACTTTTGCTTTAGACTATTCTCACAGCATGAGGCATGGGGGTCTCACGGCGTAAGGGATGAGTGACCCCGTTTCTAGTTTTCTTCTTGGATCTCACAATTTGAGAGAAGGCTCCACACGACATGATGGCAACTTCGTTGACTTTTGGACTTTGTTTGACTTTTGGGTCAAGATTCTATTTTTAGAAGGTAGACTTAAGGTTTACCTTGTGTGGATTAATAGGAGGTACTGAAAACCAATCTTTTGGCATAAGAGCAATTAGTTGAAGTTGACTTTGTAAATCAGGTGAGTCTTCTCACTGTATCGGTGGGTCTAAGGTACCAATTCCGGCTCATTACTTGTTATGTGGAATGCTAGTTCTCTCTGTGATGCTTGCATGAAAGACCACGATTTGGACCATGGAAAATGTATGGAAGACCAGGATCTGGCCCCTGGAAGTTGTTTGAAAGACCAGGATCTAGCCCCTAGCACTAGTATGTAAGATTGGGATTGGCCATTGACATTGC